TATCCTGATGGGAAACTTCACCCAAGGGGACCAGGCACCAGGCTCTCCTTCGTAAAAGCAAACATCTTCCTGTCTTTCTCTCCCCTGCAAGGGAGCCCCTAACTGCTCGGATACAAACCACAAAGTCCTTTACACATGCCATGCCTTGGAGACAACCGCAGGACTGACATTCACCAGTGAGAAGTCATCCCAGCTGTCTCTGGGGGAAGGGAGAAGGTGGAGGAGCAGAGCGGCTGCCTTCTAATTGGATCCTCATTAACTGCAAAGAGCTGGCTGGTCATCGAAGGCTGAACGGCAACTTCAGTGATTTGAAAAATAGAACAATTTCAGACGATTTAAGGCTCTGTAAAAGTGGGGCTCAGTGGTAGCAAGGAGCCAGTAACAGCCAAAAGGAACTTACCCACTTCAAGGAAGACATAGGAAAGATGACAAGAGGTGAAATCATCTCCCAGACTGGATGTTCCATACGGAAACAATTTAGTGGGTAAAGAAGAACTACGTACTAAACACTTTAGGAGAGGAACCCAGAGATTTTTTCCCTTCAGGGTCCAGGAGGTCTAACAGGCAGATAAACACCCACCACGTCTGCGTGTGTAATGGATGCATACAGAGAATCACTCTGCATAGGCAAGATTAAGAAATGAGGCTCGTGCCTCAAAATCTAGGCCCAGGATCCAAAGACTCTGGCAATTTGGGACACTGACCAGGATACATGGGAAGCTAGCCAGTGAAGAAAAGCTAGGGAATACAAGTCCAAGACAGGTTCTGACAAGCCAGGCACAAATAAGACAAAAAAAAAATTGAGGTCAGAGTGGACCCCAAGCTGTAGCTAAGCCCAAGATTAAGAGTGAGTTGATGCAGCTCCCTAAAATCCAGCTTGCGGCAAAAACCGGGACCAGATGGATTCAAGTGGAAAGAACTTGAGGGAAAGATCTGCTATCTGTACCACCCTGCTCTGACTTTCACGGGGACTGGTAAGGACACAGTTGGTGCTGCATTGTAGAGGCAGGAAAAAAAAGCCACAAAGCATTTCAAGTCCAAAAATATCTACTGGAAGATATTAACATGAAGAGATTTTCGACCCAAAGAATAAAAGATGTAACTGATTCCACTGGTTCTCTTATTTTCTTCTCTGGTTTACTGTATGCAAAGCCAAGCCTTTTTTTTTTTTAAATAGAAAAGTCTGCAGGCGGTGTTTGCTTGGAGGGGTCACACTTGCACAGGGCTGTTCTTACTAAAAGGACTCAAGTATCAGCCTCTTCATCGAGAGGAACAAAACTAGCTCTAAAAAAAAAAAGGAGATGCCACGCATAGTGGCTTATACCTGTAATCCCAGCACTTGGGAGGCTGAGGCGGGAGGATCATTGTGAGTTCGAGACCAGCCTGGGCTACAAAGTGAGCTCAAGGCCAGCCTGAACTCCCTACTGAGACCCTGTCTCAAACACACACACACACACACACACACACACACACACACACACACACGAAAAGAAAGAAAAAGAAAACCTTACAAGCTATATCATGAACTTTCTGTCCATAGATTTTAAGGGAGACTACACACCCCACCCCATCAGGTAGCAGCTGTCCTGGACTGACCTAAGAAATGAGAATGAGGTGCATAAGGCTACAGAGGCCTCTGGCTTGAGGCTGGGTTAGGATGAGGTGCTGGAAAGTGATGCGGGTCATGAAGTGAACACATGCTCAAGGGCAAGACATCTGAGCAAGAATAGGGTTAGGAGGCAAGCACAGGGAGCCAACAGTGGAGGATTTGCAAGAGTGGTGAGCAGCAGGTCTGGAAGCTGGAAAAGGTCCTCTTCAGAGGGCTGTCCCCAAGATCTGTAAGCAGGGGAGAGGAAGCTTTCAAGACAGATGCTCTGAGTATAAATTCCCACTCTCCCTTACCACCTGTGTGACCTTGGGCAAGTTCCCTAACCTCTCTGTGCCTTATTTTCCTCAACTATAAAATGAGAATAATGTCATTTGCCCCGTAAGGTTGCCAAGAGGGTTAAGTTAGTTAATATTTGGAAAGTACCTGGATCAGCGCCTGCACACAATGAGTATAAAGTCAGTGTTACCACAGGACCTTTCTTCCTGCAGGGCCATTAATACTAGATGACTCCTCCAATTCTCTTCTGGATTGTTCCAACTTAACAATGGTTTCCTTCTCTTCCCGCCATGAGGATGATTCTCCCCAGAGGAGTCTGTTCTCCCACTTCAGCCCTAGACCCCAGAAGGCAGCTTCTAAGGCACAAAGCACACAGGTAGGGAAGGAGGGTGCAGAGGACACCCAGTACCTGCATTCTGCTTTGATTTCCCCTAAAGTTCCTCCAGCCCACAGGCCAGAACACAGCTGCATAGCTCACTGGTCAGAGTGCACCACCATCAGCCTGGGGTTCCAGACTTGCCTCAGAAGCACGAGGCCAGCATCTTTTACGTCTGTCAGTCACTGTCCCTGTGCTGCCTTGAAGGGGCCACTCCTCAGGCAAACACAGAGGGGTCACTGGGGTCCTGGAGAAGCCACTATGTGCTGGTAGCCAGGATTCCTGCACAGCTGTCCCAGCCGCAGAAGGCCCAGGAACATTCCTCCAGGAGACACCTACTGTTTCCTGGCAATCCAGGAAATGCTTCCAACAAGGCCCTTTCTATAAACTCAGCTTGGTACTCTGCCCAATGTAGGTGCTCAATAAACGACCTGAATTCATTTCTCCCAGGAATCCATGTTCTGAGACACAAGAAGAAGCTGGGAAGGGAAGGTACTGCCATCAGGCAAGCTTGCTCTCTTCTTTTCCTGTCTCAGTCCCGTGCTGGCCTTTGTTGACAGGAGCTAAGAGCACAACATCGGACTTGGACACACACATGTATGATGACCACACTGGTCCTTTTAAAAAACTGCCAACAGCTAGATAAAGCGTTGGAAATGGAGCTCAAAATTGACTTGAACTTATGGTTTGCAGCAAGAGAATAAACTTCCAAAAAAAATTCAAAATGGTGGGCTCTGGCCAGGCCTCCCACAGTCAGCAATAAGTGTAACGAAACAGGCTAAAAATTCCAAGCCTGGGTCACTAAGGCATTTGTCTCTGCTGAGTTTCGAGAGGCCAAACCACACACACACACATACACATGAGTGCACACACACAAGCATGCACACACACACATACACACAGAGGCACACGGAGCTTGGCAGCCCCCAAGTTCCAGAGCTGGTAACACAAGCCACGGAACTGACTGCCAAGACAAGCAACAGAATGAGCCAGGCCTAGTTTCATTGGCCACCATACACTGCATATGGCCCGGGACGCAGCCAAAACAGTGTTCTCACCCTCCTCAAAGGCATAGGAGACCCTCTGTTTTCAAACACACCTCCACAGAGCCCTAATTAAAGGAAAATGGAAAAATAATGTGCCTGCTGCTCTCCCCCTGCCCATGTAGGTATGTGCACACACGCACCCGTGCACACGCACTCTGCTTTTCTCTTCTTCCCATTTTTGGTTTCAAGCACAATTCATTCTCATGGAAAAAAGCAAACTGCATTCTGCAGCAGAAAAGCAGAAAGAATGTAGCTTGCCCTCAGCCCTGGCTCTGACTGCTTAAGTTGAGCTGGGGCTGAATGAATACGGAGCAGGCCAGCCTAGAGCCTGTGCTGGCCCCTTCCTTTCCAGACTGGAGCTGGAAAGTGAGATGGTCAAGTGGGGGCCGCGGGCGGGGGTGCACGCTACAACACCAATAGCCCCACACGAGCAAGGCCCAGAGAGCCTGGGGAGGATTCTGCAGGCTGGAAAAGATGCCACACATCCTGCAAACAGGTGGGAGACCCAGGGAGACAGGAGGAGCAGTCCCTGTTGGCTGCCAAAGCTGGCAGTGAGGAGTGGGAGACTCTTATCCAAAGCTTTCCTAGGGGACGTCCTCACCACCATGTCCAGATCTCCTTGGAAGTGGTGGCAAGCAATCTAGGAGAAAAAAACGGAGATCCTGTCACCAGGCCTGCCAGCAGCCCTTCCACTCACACAGCACCCAGCTCTTCAGGAAGATTCTGGAGCTGCCTGCTCCTCTGAATCAAAGCCAAATTAGAAAGGGAACAGAGGAGCCTTTGAGAAATCCATCCTCTCTGCTCCAAGCAAGGCAAAACCTCAGCCACCCAGAAGCATGAGAATAGATCTTGCTTCTCTTCCCTGGATGTCAAGTTTCTATAAAATCAAAGCTGTGCTCACACCCGATACCTGGTTAAACTCTCCCCTAGAAACCTGCAAGGGAAGATAAGCCTTCCATCCAGGCTGCAGCCAGATTTGCTGGAAAGGGTGAGAGCAGTGGGAGGCGTTTTTAAAATCCTCTGGGAAGGGAGGCTGGGGGGAAGGGAGAGGATCGCAGTTCTTGCAAGCTTCAAAGGACAAGCAGGTACCCAGATACAGTCTAGTCCTGCAGTTTCTCATACTCCTCAAGCTAAGGCCCTGGAAATGACGGCCAGGAGTCAGCTCCAGAGTGCCAGTTCCCCTGAGACACAGACCTTAGTTTCCTGGTTGTCACCTGGGAAGGAGGTATGCTGGGGAAGGGTCAAGCAATCATGCAACTGCAGCTGACCCAAGGGTTCTGTTGATTTCCCCTTCCACCAGCCCCTCCGGTTTCTAGCCCCATGGATGGCCCACTCATCCTTGCAAAAGAGCTAAGGCGTCCTGGACTTCCAAGCAGCTCCGGGGACCCAGGCAAACCCTGGCTCTGCTGCCCTGGGGTCCAAGAGGAAGGTCCAGCCTCCTCTGAGGACAGGAGCAGAAAGGAGCCTTCTAAACTGGGTCGCTTGCCTAAAGAAGTCAGCCTTCTTTATGTAACCTGACGTGACAGACAGGGGAGCCCAAAGGGCACCCAGGCCACCTCAAGATCCCCTGCCAAGTCAGAATCCTGGGGCAACGGCCTTGAGAGAAGCCCTCTTTGCAGCTCGCTAGAAACCCCAGCCTTTCTCCACACCTCCTGCAAGTCCTCCGGGAGCGCGCTTCCTCCCCGCGAGGGAGGTGGCGGCAGGGACAAGACTTGCCAGTGGGTCCTTGTCATGCTCCTTTGACCCCCTCAGTACCCAGGCCTTTCACCCTCCAACCCACTCCCACGGCCCAGCTCCCGGGATAGTTCTCCCAGCTCGCTCCCTTCCCCGGCACCTCCCTGCAGGCGCACTGGGGAGGAGAGGCGGAGGGGGAAGGAGGGAGCGAGCGCCCCGGACGCCCGAGGAACAGACGGAGCCTCCCGTCCTGGGCCAGGAAGCCACCCGCTCGGGGGCCGGGGGCTGCAGGAGCCGCCCGGCGCCGCGGGGCACGGAGTCCGCGCAGGGCTGGCCGCCCAGGTACCCCGCACGCCCCTCCCGGCGCCCCGCGCGCCCTGGCACCCACCGTGCAGAAGCCGCGCGCGGAGGCGGCGCGCCCGGGATCCGGGCCCGGCTGCAGGCGCCGTGCCCGCCGCGTGCCGCTGCCGCCCGGTGCCCAGGCCCGTCCCGGCCCGGGAGCCGCCGCGGCGCCAGCCCCGCCGCCCGTGCAGCGGCCGCCGAGCGTCCCTCCCGCAGGCTGTGGCGGGCGGCAGGACGGGTTGCATCAGCCCCGGCTATATAGCGGCCCCTGGGCGGCGGGAGGGGTCGGGAATGCGGAACCGGCGGGGCTGCCAGCTCCAGACGTCAGCGGGGACGGAGAGGAAGGGAAGGAGGGGACAGGGGAGGAGGGGGTGTGCAGCCGCGCTGCACACCACTGACCTTCGCCGCCCCCGCCGCCTCCGGCGCGCTCCTCCCGCCGCCGCGCGCGCTCCTCGGTCCGCAGGGCCGGCCGGGGCCCCGGCGCGCCTGCCCGGGCTCCACAGCGGCCTCCGGCGCCGCCACCGCGCGGCTCAGGAGCGCGCGAGGAAGCAGGACGCGGCGAGCGGTTATGTAAGAGCATCCCCCGCGCTCCGCGGTCCGGAGACAGGCGCGCGGGGTAGGTGGCCGGGCGATCAATTAGGAAGCCCTTGGGGCAGCAGCGCTTGTGTTGAACCATCTTCCTTGTCCTGAGTGCTTTGCCCCCAACCCAGGCAGAGAGAGAGGATTTCAGCACGGTTGCATCCGTGGATCTTGGAGGAGGTGACCTCCCAAGCCTGCAAAGGATGAGCAGAGGATTAAGGCACGCAGGGACATCACAGCCCCCCTTCTCCAGGGCTGCCGCCTGGGGCCACCCCTTTCTCTGTGGCTGGCCCAGGTTCACCCAGAGCTCCTTGCCTTCCTCGAGCAGACAGGCTTTTCCTGTCCACTGACAGACCCCTGAAGAGCTTCCTCCCCAGTAAGACTGCCCTGGCCAGCTCCACTGCCCCCTCCCACCCTCCTAGACAGGGACATGGAAGAGGAGACTCCAGGGGGCATGTGACAGCCACAGTGCCCCCCATTTTGCAAAGGCTAGGACACAGAGTCCTCAGGCACAAACGTGGCACCTGACTCCGTGGCACTGTCTTCCTGCCTCCTGCCACCCCGCATGCCCAATCTGCCTCTGCCTACCAGATAGGAACGATGATACTGCTCCTCAGCGACCTTTAGCCTCCTTCTCAGAGTGAGAGCAGGTCATCACCCAGCGGAAAGGAAGTGAAAGAAAAAGTTCACACTTCCTTGGAGCGCAGATCGCTCAGAGTGAAAGAGACAAGACACCCCGCAGATTGGAGCACATGCGCCAAGCCAAGCCTCACCTCTCCTGAATTCGTAGCTCCTTGTTCCCCCAACACTGAAATCTTTTATTTTATGCAAGGACAGACCCTGTGTTTTGATGCCATTGCCTGTCCATTCTCACCATCACCTTCAGCATCCTCCCTCACAACACTGGTGTAAGAGAGAAGAAAGTAAGGCCATAAAAACACATGCACGGGTAACGCAGTTGTAACGTGATCATCTTGTGGAAGAACACCACTCCCAGCCCCTGAAAAGGCCAACTGTACCTTTACTACAGCACAAAAATCAAAGCCAGGTTCTATGAAACTGCCTTGTGATGTTTCTCCCACGAGACCAGGCTCTGGACATTTATAGGGATGAAAACACTGAAGGAGGGCAATATTACTTTATGCTGGGACTTTGAAGAAATGAAACTGACCTACGTGCAGGGACTAATAATTAACGCGTGTGGTTAGAGCCGGTCCTCTTCAGGGCCTGATCTGGGCCTTGGCTAGGCCCCTGGGAGTCCTACTGGGACTTTGCTATCCCCCAAATTAAATAGGCTTACGTGAATGGCACCAAGGGGTGACTGGAGGTCTTTAGCCCCTTTTACCATCCTATCCTTTAGGTCTCCTGTTACTTGATATGGATGTTTTTCAATTTCATAGGGGATGTTCTGCAAACACAGCACAAGACCTTCCTCCCAGCCACATCGCCCCCTCCTAGACCCTTCTGCAGTCCCTGCCTCTGAGACTGGCTGGAGGGACAAGCCATACATTGACTTCTCTGTGTAGACATGGCCAGTTTTTCTCCACAATTGCCAGATACAACTGCATCCACCTCTGGTTTTTAAAGACGACAGTGGCCTGGCCTAAGTCAATTTGACTTTAGGGTTCCTGTCTCTTGCAACCAAAAAAAGTCCTGATTAAGATACTTGGCTAGTGGGTTGACTCAGATGTTGCCATGTCTCCCATGTGAACCTAGTGAAGCTAGGAATTTTGTGGATCTACTAGGAAGAAAAGCAGCCAGAAGCTGAAGCAGAAATGTCCACAAGCTTCCACAGGAATGGGACCTGCTGAGAGGGAAGTTAGTGAGTGGAGCTGTTGGAGGGCAGGTGGATGGAGTGCTGGGGGTGTGGTCTAGAATCCAGCCATGCCACCCATCATCCCTAACTCTAGAAGTTTTGGTTAAATCATCAGTAAATTACACCTTACTTGAGGCAGTTTGAATTTAGTATTCCTTTTGCTTGCTACTAGTAAAGTCCTCATCAATAACTGGGTTTTGTATTTGTCTTATTTTTACCATTTTGGTTTAAAATTTAATGGGTATCAATCAGTGAATCCCAAGCTCTTTGCAAAGAGCAAAAAGTGAAATGATGAAGTAAAATAATAAATTCCCCAGAACTAAAGGAACTATCAATACCAAGGAGGAAGTGATAGTTATGAGTAATCAACAATCCACTAGTGTTTATACTATTTTTTATTGAAAATCTGTTGTGTGCCTGTCAGTGGCACAGAGTTTGAGACTCAGGTCTTCACCCGAGTCTATTAGGAAAGATAACTTAAAATGAGTGAGCAGAAAGAATAACAGTCCCTCAGAACTAATTGACACAGTCTATTAATAGTGTAGAAATCCAGATAGATTAATGATTCATTCTTTATTCAAACTGTATAGATCAAAATTACCAACTGCAGATACTTCTCCATTTACAGTGAGTTATAGACTAATAAGCTTGTCCTGAAGTGAAAATACCATTAACTCAAAATGCATTTAGTACACCTGACCTACTAAACACAACTTAACCGAGCTACTATAAATGTACTCAGAACACTTACAATAGCCTACAGTTGGGCAGTCATAGGATACAAAGCCTTTTTTATAATAAAGTATTAAATATGTCAAATTGTAAGTAATTTACTGAATACTGTACTGAAAGCAAAAAATAGAATGGTCATATGGGTATGCTTTCATGCCATCATGAAACTGAAAAAGCGTAAGTTAAGCCCTGAGTCAGAGATCGTTTGTAGTAGCTGGAAAGTAGAATTTGACTTCGCTAGCTCAACCTCAAATTCTTTGTTTTCTTCAGTATATCAAAGATTTAATGGATGCACAAAACATCTGTACTTCTAACTTTTCCTGAAAAAAAGCAAAGTCTAGCAACTTGGGCATCTGTAATAAATGATAAATTTTTCTTCAAAATTCAGTGACTTAACACAAGAAACGTTACTTCTTACCCATATAAGATCTAGTGAATCCAGTGATTTTCCAGCACAGCAGTTCTCTAGGTGATGGATCAGTGCTGTACCTCCATGTCACAAATGCATTCATTGGGGGGCATGTACCTCCTTATGGCAATGGTAGGCCGGAACCCCTTGAGATGGGACCTAAAGCCTTCATTTGAAAGTTTCCACCCATCCTATTTCATCCATTTATACAGTCTGCCTCTTGCCTGGCCCCTGGGAGCGATTGATTTTTGCAAGTTCTGGTATATACAAAGCCAATCTTAGTAATAGTCTTTCAAGTATCCCTGACAATCTAGGAGTTATCACTATGCTTTTTCAAGAATGTATGTTTTATCTGCATAAAAAAACAAAAACATATTCCATAGGGAGTTTTTCAGATAAAAGGCAGGATGGTATCATGAAATCAAACAAGAAGTTGAGACTAGCTGTTATATATTCTGCAATTGAGAGGCATATCATTCCTCCCACTGTTTCTTTGATCAAACACTTGCCATGAGAGACTAGGAGGAAAAGGGGCCTCCCATATGCTTTTCTAGGGTGGGAGAAATTACATGTTGGGGGGGGTAAATTTTAAAAATTCACAGAAGTGAATATATATACAAGTAGATGCATACTTATACTATATATTCAAGGATTTGAGAAAAATTGTGAGTTGGTAAAGGAAGGGCTTTTCTTCTCACCAACGAGGAATTTTATAAAACCTGCCTAAAGGTTTAAGAGTAAGCCAGTGCCTATAGAAATGCAGCCATCACTGGGAAAAGTCTAGCAATTTATCTTTACTCTCCTGACACATTCAGGCTTTGAAGGGTGAAGAGACAGTAACTTCCCTGGTTAAAATGCTGGGACTGGTGGAGTTCTGGAGAGGTGGAATATGTCAGATTCATGTAACACTCATGCAGACATAAATAGGGTTTTTCTAGGTGACTGGATCTAGGGTGTGTGATGCTGGGATCACAGCATGGTGTGATGCTCGGATACACACTGCTCCACCCTGGTTGTTAGTGCTGTGCACCATAAGGTGTGTTAGCCTGGACAGGATATAAGGGACAGAAAAAGGGTCACTGCGTTTCACTTGCTTGCTGCTTTGCATTCTGCCTTCTGACTGCCATGAACTGTTTCTTCTCTACAGTGCCCCACTGCCATGGCACCTGTCTTGGAACCAGCCAACGACGGACTGAAACCTCTACAAACTGTGAGTCAAATAAGCGTTTCCTCATTCAACTTTGATTGTCAGGTGAAGTAACTAAGACACCTTCTCTGACCCCTCCCTGTGACCCTGAAGGGGTGTTCATACTGGTGCCTCATCATCCTTGAGTTGGCCAATAAGAGTAGTCGCAAAGCCACAGTGATTGGTTCAGAGGTGGGCATGTGACCCAGAAAGTGCCAATCAGAGTCTTCCTCGAATTTTTTTATGTGAATGCTGAGGATGAGATAAGTCATTCACTTTTGGGGGGACGGGGAGACCAGGGATTAAACTCATGACCTCGCGCTTGCCAAGCGAGGCGCTTATGCCGCGGAGCTAAATCCCTGACCCCGAAAGTCATTCACTTTAAAACATCAATATAAAGATGTCATTTGTAACTACCAGTGGCCATTTTTCCTATCATGTGCCAAGAGTCTGACTAAAAAAGAACCAGGACACTAGAGATAAATAGCCATGAGTCCATCTTTTGAGTCCTTGACTTTAACATGCTGAAGCAGTCTTTGGGTGAGTAAACACATGCCCTTTCTCTTTCATGCCTAGATATTTTGAGCTGGGTTTTCTAACACTTGCCATCGAAAGAATGCTGAGGAACACAATAAATAAATGATCCAAAGTCAAGCTTATAAAGGAATGCTGAACTTACACCGGAGAATTGTATCTGTTTCTATTCTTGCCTCATCCATCAAATCCTTCTCTTCCTCTGAAAGCCTAAAGACAGAACTGCTCACAGCTCGGGGCTCAGTTAGTTATTTAAGTAACTTAAATGGCTAATCTCACTTTAATGTTTGCTCTGAACCTGCCCCACCCTTATTGAGGCAGCAAAGCTAAAAGGAGACACTCTCCTCAGCCCTAAGGAATAGCAGCAGAGAGGCCCAGAAATATGAACGATATTCACAAAAATGGGGAAATGAGGACTGGAGCCATCAAGGGAAACCTTCGTGCATCCTGCTCCCAGAATCTTCTGTTTCAAAATGTTTCCTGAAACCACAGAGGGAGGATGAAAGATCCACATTGGGACTGTCACTGTGTGAGGTGCCCTTATATACGTGGTCTCTGAAGTTGATGACAGGATTATAGAATTACTAAACTCCTTTAGAATGATGTTTTAGTTATATGAAATTTCAAATCATTTTGAACTTTTAATTAATTTCAATTAACAAATAAGTGATGAGTTAATGAATAAAGGAAAAAAGAAGCTGGTCTAAGACACAATCTTAGGAGATGCTAATAGTTAATAAACTGGGAAAGTAACAAGAAGCAAACAAGTTAGGAGACAGATGACTCCTTGGTGAAAGGGTTTTGGCGCAGATAGGACACTGTAGCCAGGAAAGCCACAACAGGAAGCAGGAAGCCCCATCTCACCGCCCCTAGGAAGTTACCTGTGACGCCATCTTCCCGCCCCTAGAAATTTACATATGGCGCCAAACCTAGGACCAATGGGCTACCTGTGTATCCCTAATGCCCGCCTTAGGTTCCACCCCAAACCGAGGCTATTTACAGGCCCCCACGCCACGTGTCCGCCGGAGAGAGATAGCTGGACCAGCGGTGGGGGTGCCGGTCATCTCTCTCTGTGTTCTCAGAATGAAGGCCGCTTTTTATTTTATATTTCTCATCTTTTGTTAATATTTTTCATCTTTTGGAAATAACCCTAGCACTTGGAAAATCAGAGAGAGAAAGGCAGAGTCACAGACTATCCAGGCTCCTCAGAGCTCCTTTGCCATTATTATTGTCAAAATATGTAGCCTGAAGTGTAACACAGAAAGAAGACCTGAAATGAGGTTGTTGTATTTGTTTAGGTCTGGCAGAAACATTATAATCTTACAGATGAATCATTTAAGAGGCCTCAAGATATTTTTGAAAGAGGTAGTTTAATCTGAAAATGTAGCCAGATACTGTGCTGCATGCTCTCTGGGAAGCTGAGACAGGAGGATGGCAAGTTTTAGGTCATCCTGGACAACTCAGCGATGTAGCAAGACCCTGTCTCAAAAGGACTGGAGGACTGGGGCTATAGCCCAGTGCAAAAGCCATGGGTTCAATCCCTCAGGTCTGGAAAGAAGAAAAGAATGGAAGGAAGGAAGAGTGGACAATCAGGCATACAACAATATTTCCACCTAGCACCCACAATGCTGTGTGAAGGGTGATGAACCCTTCCTCATTTTTTTTTCTTTCTTCTTAATCTTTGTGAACCCACTCTCGGAAGTGCTGCTATAGATTGATCAGGCTCCTCCAAAAGAAGTTTGGGCTTTAGTTTCCTCATCTGTTAAATGGGGACATGCTAATTAAATAAGATACCTACAAAACACCATATCAATACCTATCACATGCTATGGGCACAGTACATCTGGCTCTATTCTCAAGTACCATCATTGTTAGAACCATCAAAAATAGGTTTCAGCCAACTCAAATCCCATTGCTATGACCTTCTCAAATCTGTCAAGCCAATGATGATTTCTCCTTCTAACATCCTTCTTTCCTCCTAACATCTAACCATTTACCATTTTAAATTCTGCTCCTTACTTCGTTATGTGCATTGTCAGTGGAATATGCTTGAAGTTACTTAGAGGTAGGAACAATATCTTAGCATTTAAAAATTCTTGTAACACCTACCATGTGCTGAGCTTATGGCTGGCACTCAGTAGACCTTTAAATAAATGATAGGCAGGGACCATGAAATAGTTACTTGTTTCCTTGCTAATGTTGAAAGCAATCTGGGCTCTTGGCAATAAAACAATATTCATTGAACAGATGCTGAGCAGAGATGTAATTATCAGTCCTACCTTGTACTGCACTAGCTGGTAGGATATTAAAGTGAGGAAGGGGCCATATTTTACAGACCAGGAAATTAAAGCCCACGTCGATGACACAGATCTAGCTGTATGAAAATTATGATGGGAATAATTCTCAGAATTCTTTCTGCTATGTTTTAAAACAACCACCAATAAAAAGTTATTTCAGCAAATGTTTATTAAAGGGGGGGAAGTCCCCTAGGTTTCTTTTTTTTTTTTTTTGGCCAGAGATGGCGTTTCCTCTGACACTCAGCAGCCTTGGTGGCTTGGTGGGGGGGGGGGCGGGGGCTGTGACTGGGCCCCTTGTATGGGCCGGGTAGAGGCGGCATGCAGGCTGCTTCTAGGAAGCCTCCTCGGCTCCAGGCAGTGGAGCCAGATTTGACGCCTGCTCTTCCCAGCACTCAGCCCTCAGTCAACCAGACGGGGCCTTCCAGAGAGTGCTGCTCCCCCACTCAGTCCCTGCGCCAGGGAGCCTGGACTGATCCCACACAAAACTCAGCCCTAGAGACCAAAAAAGCAAATGGTTCTCATCCTCATGGCCCAGGGAATCTGCTGTCCTCAGAAAATGAGGATAAAACATTTGTGACTAAGCAAACATGTAAGTGGCTATGCCTGTGGGCTGGCCTCAGGGACGGCGCAGGGAGGGAAGGCTTGGGACAAGGGCCTCTTTGGTAGGTCTAGCTGAGCTCACAAGCTCCCTTTCAGCGTCCAAACCCACAATTCCTCTCCCCTCCCGCCTCCCACTGCTGGTGTTTCTCTATCTCTTAAATACACCTCCCTAATCCTCTCCTTCCTCCTTTTTAAAGCCTGCTTTTCCTTTCGAATACTTCCTCAAATGCCAACTGGTTATTTTCAAACTCCTTCAAGATCTTTCCCCAAGAGTTTGGACTGAAAACATATTTCAGACCACAAGCTCCAACTTTTTTTTAAAATTCCTTCATTCAGTCTTCATTCATTATATAAATATTTGATTATCTATATGTGCAGGGCTGTTATCATCATAAAATGATGAACAACACAAGCCCAGGTCTTGAACTAGGTGAATGAACAATTAGTCAATTAACTAAATAATTGCACACATAAAAAGGAGAATTAAAATGTGTTACAAGACAGGTGAAAAACCATTGAACCAACCTTCCTCTGTGTATTGAAGCTCTTATCCAAATCAGCTTGGTATACCAAGGCTATTCTGCTTATGGGCATGAGGTCAGGCACCCTTTAAAAAGCCTCTCTAGAGCCTCTTTTTAGGGTAGAAGAGCTTCCTTTCACCTTTCTTTCCTCTCATGGGTCACAGTTTCCATGCTACTGAGCATTGCTGCAGACTTCACTGCCCCGCCATGATCCTCTCAGACCCATCTTGGGGTCTCAGATTGTCATCACTGGTCATATATGCAGTTTTCAGCTAATGACCACAACTTTAAAGACTAATGAATGCATTGTGGGAAGCGACAGAGCACAGTGGTAACAAGTGTGGACTCTGCGACCAGACTACCTCCTTATCTTGTCTTAGCAAGTTACTTAACTTCTCTATGTTCAATTTTATCATCATTTAAAGGGTGTGTGCATGATACTATCCAAGCCATAAACAAATCATAAAGATTTTTTAAATTTATTTTTGAGATAATAAAGCCAAATGGAATAAAACTAATCAAAACAAAATGGTGAAAGCAATACAGGACTTCAAAACAAGATAATAGGAAATCAACAATGGTTGCCAGAATGCCTCTTGTTATCTTGATAATAGCTACCGTCCACTTGGAATGATGCTTACTACATTGTACAGGTTTGGAGAGGCAGGTCCTGGATGGAGTATTTGGACTTTCCCCCAGCAAAGCATGTCTTTTTTGCCTCCTGGAACCCCTGTGGCTTACCTGAGAGGAAAGGCTTGAAGTTTTTTAAAGGAACAAGCTGCTAGCAGTTGTAGAGATAGCCTAGAAGCTAGATAGACCAAGGCATCGAAGCCAACCAGCCACACTATGTGCTGCTCTTAATTCTCTGACACTGGAAGCATCTCAACTGCTCACTGCTCCAGTCATGAGAAGGGAGCTTGGTCACGGGCCAAGATCACCTCTCTTGACTTCTTAGGTCACTGTAGACAATGATCATTACTAGGCTTCAATTCCATTCTTTAATGACAGAGGATAATATTCTGTGGAATCACAGAATTTGAACTCAGCATTGTTATAGACCTATAAGTTAGGT